AGCCTCCAGACAGCATGTCACTGTGCTGCCGTTCCCCCAGAGGAGTGGGAGCTCAGCAACCCCTCTTGCCTCCTCCCCGGCTGTAGCACCAGCCTGCCTTCTGGCACAGAGGGCGCGTGGGGGGCAAGCCCCTACCTTCCCTGCCAGACCCAGCTCATGGAGAGAGGCAGAGCAAGTGGCTCTATGTACTACTCTACCTCTCTCCACTAACTGGATCTGGCAGAGTAGGTCTGAGCTTTCTTCCCTTCCTGCCCCCCCATGAGCGGGAAGCCAGAGCTGATGCTGCAGCCTCATGGCTGTGCAATAACCACGAGCAGCCGCGTGGGCTCCCCACTGCATGGGGGAGGAAAGTAGGGGAGCTGAGCTCAAGCCGCAGACCATCTGGGAGATGGCCACAGACACTGCACTTTTAGAACCACTGGCCTATGAGAATGATATATGACTGAAGACAACTCAAAACAGAAGAGCCAGCCCTGAAGCACTCAAAAAATTAGTGGGTGTTCAACTCCTACCCTTCCCCTCCAGCACTTCTTGCCAGCCAGAAACCCACTGATCGTCTCCTCCCCCATTCTCCCTCCCAGCACCCCCCACCATCAGCTGTTCAGCAGCTTGTAGGAGGGCTCAAGTGGGGGAGTGGGGTCCTGGGATTTGTGCTGGGGTGGAAAGACGAAGAAAGAGGCAAAGCGGGGCCTTAGGTGGAAGGGGCATTGAGCACTCCCAAGAAAAGGAGGAAGATGGCTTCTGTGCCCCAATGTTATAAAATAAAATATGGGTAAACCAAAAGTATTTGTTTGTTTGTTTTTTTACCTGTGGGAGGCCCAGTTGGGATGGAGAAATGATGCAGGGATGTTGTTCTCTAGCTGAATGATAGTTAGTCTCAGAGTAGATATGGTAAGAACTTTGGACCCATGTACAGACCCATTCCATTTGAACTCTCCAGCAGGAGTCAGACAGAATTTATGTGCAAGGTGCCGTCTCTTGTCATGGTCTTCTCTGTGCTGGTGTTTGTTCAATGCAAATGAGTTGGTGGCATACTGATTGTGATAGACACGATACTTCCCCTCTTGACCTAACTTGAAATAATTGCTGATGTTGCCTTTCATCACAATTTCTTTCTTGGTGTTCAACCGGGAGACTTCTCCTTGGGAATTAACCACCAGAACCTTGTTAACAAAACAAAAGGGTTTTTTTAATTAAATGATTTAAAATCTTAAATGATCTCTATTACATTCCTGTTTACAAAACAGACCTTCCATTTTCAAAATCACATTCATTCATTCTGAATTATATATTGTATATTATTTTCTTCTAATTTATTTAATCTTTTTCACCTTCAAAACGTTTTAATAGTATTAAAGTAGTAACAACAGTACTCAAGTTAGGGGCCAAGTTTTCTAGTGTAGGCAACCAAATTGCTCCTGTAACAGGTGTGCAAAGTTGGAATCTGTGCATGCAAATAGATAATCTTTATTTATTTTAGTTATCTTACAGTGACCAGAATTCTTTGAGATGTGTGGTACCTACCTGTCTTCCACTGAGAGATGTGCAGTGGTTCAAGTGCCTAACCTTGGAAATTCTTGTTAGTAGTGCCTACAGATCCACACCTGGGTCCTTCTGCTTTTTGTGCTCCAAACTAAGTGCATGAGAGACAGTGTGGACAGACTGCCTCTCTAGTTACCTTCCTAATACAAATAACCCTAGTAAAAGGCTCTGTAGCAGAGGAGAAAGAGAGCAATTACAGGAATATAGAGAGAGACAATACGTCTCAAAACTCCAGTATCATACAGTTATCACAAATTAAAGAACTTCAAGTAGAGTCAGTCTCTCCCTCTCACACACATATATATATTTATGTATTTTCAGGCAATCACCGAGTTACGCGTGTCAGATCTGCAGTTACGAACGGGGATTTTCTCGCCCCAGAGGACTGGAGCGGTGGGACGCCTGGTCCCACCGCCCGCCTCCTCCGGGGCGAGAAAAGCTGCTCCCCGTCTCCCTGGTTTGCTGGGGAGCCAGCAGACCAGGGAGACGTGGAGCAAAGCGGCGGAGGACCCGGGCCGGACCCGCGGCGCTGATCTGGAAGCGCCGCGGTCCGACCCGGGTCCTCTGCCGCTTTGCTCAGCGTCTCCCTGGTCTACAGGATCCCCAGCACCGCGGTCCGGCCCAGGTCCTCCGCAGCTTTGCTCCGCGTCTCCCTGGTCTGCTGGGGGGGGAGACGTGGAGCAAAGCCCGGGGCCT